AACGTTGCCACATTTTCTCCATCAAACAGTTTCAATGGCAGACGTATCACATTTTTGGTTATATTTTTTACTATTGTTAATAAACTGAGTGGTAAAAGTTGTTTTAATCTTCAAATATATTTTTAATATGCTATACTTTATATATTAAACATAAATTTATTCGATTCTTAACATTTTGAATATTAATATTTGTTGAAAACAGATACATAGAATCGAGTCTCCTATAAGAGAAAGAGAGATAGTCTATTATAAAATCCAGAATTTTGTTATTAATTTACAGAAAAATGCGCTAGTCAAAAAATCTGAAAAAATTTACATAAAAGCATGCTTTGTAGATAAAGCTATGTTCCAAATTTCAAGCAATTCTTAACATATTGCATTCTCCTTACAACCTCCTTAAAAAACATCGTTTTTAGAAAAATGCGTTCAAAGTTTAGATAGTATATACAGCTAGTCGGCGATCCTGACTCTTCAACAGGCTGTAACTCGATCAGTTTTTCGAATTTTGACTTGAAATTTTTACCACTTATTTTTAAAAGTACAATCTTTAAGAATATGTAAAAAAACCAATTTTTTTGACCCAACAAGGTAGAGACCCCCCTTAATTTGATTACAGTCCACCGCGGACCATTTTCACTTATAAATGATTTTACATTCCGCAATATTATTGAAATAATATCTCTTGATTCTAAAAAAAGGAATTATGTCAATGCTATAATAATAAAATTCGAGAATTGATCATATCTGAAGTTGAATAAAATACAATATTTGCAATAAAATACGTTGCGAGATAAATGGAAAACTTGCATATTAAATGAAAAACTAGTGTCTCTTAAATTAGATGCAGTTACATGTATCGTTCATTTTTAAGTATAAATGTACAATTTCTATATGATGATAACCCTACTAATTACAATTTGTACGTTAACAATTCAAGAATTACATAGTAACTATGACGCATTTACGACATTGAAAACTGTTTTAATTATTTATCGAAAGTATGGTTTTTCTATTCAACAACTTTATTTAATAATTACGGATAATGGATCAAATATGATTAAATTAATTCGTTCGTCGGAATACGACCAATTAGAAGAATGTGAAATCGAAACAGATGATGAAACTGGTGATAATGTAAATATTACATGGGATAAAGGTGATGATAAGATGTCTTTTGAAACTGAAAATAACAATGAAGGAATCGAAGAAATTGACGTTTATATATTAAAAACAGATACAGTCTATAATTACATTAAAATATAGCATAAAATCTGTGAAATGTGCTGCTCATACTTTAGCGATTGCTGATGTGTTAAAAAATAAAGAAATAATATAAATAATAGAAAATATTCGTCGTGTTTACCAACAATACGAGATGTTTTAAAAGCGATGCAAAAAAGGAAACGAATATTAGATGATATGAGATGGCATTCAGCTGTTGACATAACAGAACGCTTGATAGAATTGAAACCCT